AGAAAGATGTGTTTTACTACTGATTTGAATATTTGATTGAATTTACAATGTATCCCAGGTTCCATCTGACATAATCATTTAGTTACTTTTAGCAGGCTCAGGAAAACAAAGAGAGGCAGTTTGGTTAAGGTTGATTAAGGCATCAGGCTAGAAACTAGAAAACCATGAATACTTTGCCTCCCTTGGTCCAGTCATTTTCTTTTGGCCCTAAGAAGGAAGCAATGACAATCCACTTCTGAAAAAGCTTGTCAAAAACATTTCAGAGATTTACAAGCGCAAGAAAATTCTTTACCTTGAAGCGAAGGTAGCAACAAAATGGAAAAATTGGGAAAAAAAACTTGTTTTTTTTTTCAGGTGTAACAACTGTGCTAACAATGACCACCTTGAGCATCAGCGCACGGAATTCTCTTCCCAAGGTAGCTTATGCTACCGCTATGGATTGGTTCATAGCCGTGTGCTATGCATTTGTCTTCTCAGCTCTGATCGAATTTGCCACAGTGAACTACTTTACAAAGAGAGGTTATGCATGGGATGGCAAGAGTGTAGTTCCAGAAAAGGTAATGAAACAGATCTTCATATATTTTATTTGTAGTTGAAATGGTTGCTTGTTGTTATTATTTCATATGCTATGGACAACATGTAGAGACTAAGGAATATGACTGACAGAGATATTAAATAAACTATTGCTTGGCAAAGAGGCCAAAGCATTTTCTAAATCCAGAATGCTCCAATGACATTCAGAAGCAGCTTAGATACCTCCTAAGTCCCTGAACTGTAAGAACAAAGAGATACAGCATAGTCGGCTTTTCAAAATGCTGTTACTATAGCAATCTCAATAAAAGTAGTTTTAATCTTCCTATGGAGTTGATTTCATGGTCTCATGTACCTAGTGGGTTTCACAAGTACAAACCTGCTAAACAAACTATTATACAACACTACATGATTATATTAATAGTAACCTACTGAAAAAAGTGCTCAGACTTGCAATCTGTTATATAAAATTTTATTTAAAAGCAAATCTATTGAAGTTTTAAACCATTGGCTTAGATATATGTCCGTACTGAACTACTTTCAATTGTATTTTCACAATCTCAAGGGAAGAAATAGCAATGACTTTTGAAATAATCAAAAAGATAAAATTTCACTTTAGATATTAAGAAGCAAGGACTTTATTAATGCATTAGTTCATTAGATAATTAAAACCATAGTTAAACCTATATGGACATTTCATTGCTTTGGGCTGTTGTCCAGATTGCTGTTAAGGAGAAAATCACACATGCATGCTATTTACTCAGGGATTATCAGGCAACTGCTGATGCATGTGAAACAGCTATCACTCATCAGAATCCTCAAAAAGAATTTTTATACCACCCACTTATTATCATCTAAAAATAAGACTTTTCAATAGACATTCAAAAGCAAGTTGTTGAGTAATGATTCATCATGCCATAGGACATGAAGTGATATATGCATGTGTGATTCAGACTCTCGAGTTTTTTTTTTTTTTTGGGGGGGGGTAGTTGCAGAAATCAGGGATTCTCAGAACACAGCCAAAAAATGAAATAAGCAGAACTTGGCTATTTCGCACATATGTGAAATATGGCAATACTTGATAACCTAGAGCACAGGAGGTCTGATTTCCCTATCACATCCTCCTCAGAAGAAGGCTTTGGAAGTGAAACTATTAACTATTCCCTGGCTTTTAAAATGATTCCAACAGAAGTATGAAGGATCTGTCAATCATTCATGGTAGTCCAGGTCAAGAAATAGGCACAAACAGGGATTACAAGAAAGATCTTCATTGTAGCAATATAGAATAACAGAATCTTTAAAGTTTATCCAAATTTCTCTATCCTTTCTGACACTAAACAAAATCTAGGTAGGATCATTTGGGTTTTTTCCCCTCATATTTCCTATTTCTCAGGATGGAATCTCAGTCTCTGAGATTCCTGCCTCCCCTCCCCCTCCCTGGATTGCTCATTCCTTCTCAATTTTTACTCTACATTCCTTCACAAAGTTTGTCAGCACAGCTTGTGAGTCTGACAGATCAGAAATTAAACTTTGCAAAACAAAGTTTAACCTTGGCTATCCAGTCCTATTTCTGCCAAGAAATTATGACCAAATTCAAGATCTGACCATAGATCAATTTTGATCTACTGAAAAGAACACTCCAGTCCCCAGATCTATGAAAGAAGTGAATGATATCTTGGACATCCAGCTGCCCAATAATGATCTCAATGACATATTGCTTCATCCATTGAAATTCATTTATAAAAATTAAGATGAAGTGATAAGGTTTTAGGGATCTTTTACCTGATGCAGGATTACAACGATATTAGAAGATTTTAATAATAATAATGATAACAACAACAGCAACAACAACAACAATAATCAGAAGGAACCTGGAAAGCAGTGCTGCACAAAATCAGTTAATCAAAGTATCCTTGCCCTTAACAATTTTTGAATCATGCTCTGCAAACAGGATTAGTGGTCTTTATTTGCTTATCAGATGAAAATAGGCTGCACCTTTTATCCAAAAGACTTCTAAATGATTTATTCTATTCATGTATTATTTAACTTCAACAATATCAGTGAATCATTTATTACTGACATTTACCTCTACCTTTCTGTTTATTTCAAAAGAAATATAAAACATATCAAATTAATACAATTTAAATAAGAAACCAAAATTAAAATCAGCCATGAATATAGCTAACAATTAAAAGCTTGGTGAAATAGATTTGTTTAGATATTGCTTAAATATCTATTTAGTTAATATTTAATTTCAGCACTTCCAGAGATAAATGTTAATACGGGAGGTGGGGGACTACAAACCATCTGAAAAAATACATCACTGGGAACTCCAAAAACAAATACACAACCAGTTTAGGGTCCATCTTTGCTGAGAGCAGACAGGAGAACTTTCATGAGTGCAGAATTGCTACCAAAGATGTCCTCTGACAGGTTCAAACATAATACCAGAAACAAAAAGATTTGTTGTGCAGAAAGTATGTGGGAGGGAAAAGTTGGAAAGGGCAAGTTTTTAAAAAAAGAAATTGCATATGCTGCTTACAGTGTTAGGTTATGTTTGCCNGAGAGAGAGAGAGAGACTTTGTAAAAGGAAGGCACCAATTGGAAGTTTTGTACAATATAAATAACTAAATACTAAAGCATAGTGTTATTGATTGGTTTGTTGTTTAACTATCTACTGTCATTATTCATTAGTGTTTTGTATGAATGAAACATTAATGCATGGAATTAGATCAATAAACTGATTTAAAAATTCTGTTTAACATACATTCATTTATTAGATTGATAATTTGAAATTCAGTTCAATTAACAAAAGTTTGGCGAGGCTTTTAAACTGCTTTTATTGGTAAATTGAGTGCTAAGCACATATCCTTCACAAGTATATTTCATATCTGAAATATTAAGGCAGATAGGTGAGCTTTTGGCAATGGGAGAACCTTTGAACAGGTTTTCCCTACTTCAGATAGTCAGACACTAAGTTGTTTATGGATTTAAAGGCCAACATGAACTCTTTAAAACATCTGGTAGACAAATGGTGTCCAACCAGATTTTAAAAATAGGCATATAATCCATATATTGGTAAACTAGCTGCTGTATTTTGCACCGTGGATAACCATCACTAATTCTAATCAGCCCAAGAAAACTGAAGTTGATATGTTAGCTGAAGTTAGGTAAGTGCATCCTACATCTTATCCATCAACTGCAAACCTAGTGTCAGGTAGAACATCCAAAGTAAGAACCTGGGCTTCTGGACAAACTCATTACCATTCAACACATTCAAAGTTTAACTTTCTTTTTACCAAAATTGCTTCTGTCTGGATTTAATTTTGGCTTGTCTGAATGATTCCTGGTAATATCTGTGTGACAACTTCATTAGATACTCAGCAAGTACCTAATTACAGGAATAGCTCATTTACATTTGAGAAAGGTCCCTGCCCAAATGTGAATGTGACATGATCATACCTATTATTTTCATTGCTATCTTATCCATCACAGCCCTTGATTTTCTAAAAGTGTAACATATAGGCTTAGGGTGCTAAAATTCACCCTTCACTAATCTGGAGTTCATTCAATTGTTCTCTCCCTCAACTCTCTGTTTTGTTTTATTGGATTCATTGGTCTTTCTATGTGAACTTTTGTCCATTTTGAAGTTGGGTGGAGATGATTCCCCCCCCTTTAAGTTACCCAACAAGAATGTTTCAAATATTTTATGTAATCATCTGAAACTAGAGAGATGGAAAGTAGAGTTGATCAAATTGCTTACAATTATGAGAATGGTTGGATCCATCTCAATTATATAACTAAATTGAAATAATTTAAAATCCTTTCTCTGAATAGAATCGTAAAGTTGGGGGTATTAGTAGTAGCAGTCTGAGCCATTTCAGAACAGACTGATGGAAAATGGAAAAAATCAGATTATTTTCTATAAATAATGCTTCTGAATATGAGTAGCGCAAGATATTTTTGATTGCAGTAAGTTTTGGCTAACAACTGACACAGTGAAAATATACTCTAGCAGATATTTAATACATGAGATGTCTGCAGTTGTCAAGGTAACTGGTGGGTAGTGATTTAAGGCAACGGTATAAACGGTAGACTTTTTACTCTTAGTAAAAGTGCTTAGTTAAAAGAAAACTATTCAATAGCAGGTGAGGGACAATGCTATAGAACATGCAAAATATATTGTCACAGTGCCATCTTTCCTCATTTCTAAGTCAATCAATATTAATAGCTAGCTTTTGAATCTGAGTCGACCAGTTGCAAAAAAACAGCTGGATAATTCAAGATAGGTTTCAGAAATGATCTAGTGAACAGAAAATGCCTTCCATTTCTCTTTAAGATTGTTATATCACAGCAAATCACACTGTAACTTTAATTCATCTCAAACAATTGGTTTTCTGTCAAACCAAACCCATCAAAGAGATATAAACAAAATGACACACCATCACACCGTGATAAATAAGTAGTAAAGTAAAACCTTGATACAGTCCCAAATTTTGCGAGCAATATGATCACTTGTCACTGATAGACTATCTCACCTTGTCTGATGAATTGCCCAATTTCCCATTCCATTCACTTTTATTTCCCTCTGGGTGCAATTTTAATTCCCCACCCATTATTAGTTTTCAGACAGAATGGAAAATATGGCATAGAAAGATTAGTTTAAGATGAGAACAAATAACTTGCTCTTCCATTTGAGCCACAACTACCTCAATCCCTTTATAAACAGTTTATTATCTAGGACTAGTGAGATTCTGCCTCTACTCTAAGTTCTGAATCTTCAAATCTACATTCAGATAACTAAATTGACAAATTATATAAAGAGCTGTGGCCTCCCTGCTCCTTGTGTAACAGGAGAACAAAAAAAAAGACTTGTCCAAAGAATCATGGATATAGAAGCTCAAAATGACATAGCCACACTTAGTAAGGCTGGTAGCCTGAAATGGCTGAGCAAATATAAACACACCTTCCAAATGGACAACTATTTAAAATTACAACACCAAAACATCTCAGGGAGACCTTTACGCAAGCAAGATTTGAACAGCTTGATACAATGGTTAGATTTGAGAGATTCTATCCCATACAATGAATGTACGTTTATTTGTGGAACTGAAGAGGTAGAAGATCTGAGTCATATATTATTCAACTGCTATTTGTATAAGGGGGCGAG